AAACTTCGATATTCTCCGCAAGACTGCTCTGGGGTTGGATGCTCCTGCTGAGTGCATGCTTCGCAAGCCATCGGCTGTTCTCGTCATTGATTCGCTTCGATGATGCGAAAACTTGCAGCGGACAAGGTTCCTGAGACAGCCATCGTGGGAGATGCCAAGGCCAGAACAGGACCAAGGATCGCCAAGACGAGGCTGCTGATGGTTCTGGAAGATCCGTCGCCGTCAAGTACCTTGGGCATGTTGGTGGTTCTGAGGAAAAAAGCGGAATTGCCATACTTGTATCACCCCTCTTCCCCTTGCTCATGGCGGAAGTTGAGAACCTTGGAGTGATGAGGCAAGCTCAACTGGACAAATCCAACTGCTGCTTGCAGTCGGTACAGAAACAGGCCTCTGTGCCCGGGTCCGCTAGGTCCCGCCGGCATCCGTCTGTAGCACGGCGATGCCATGGACTCTCTGTATCGACGGCGCATCAATAATTCATTGGGAAGGATTGGTAATGTTGACCGGCACCATCCGGATGGTGAATGCCGTTGAAGATCGAAACACAACCCACGAACCGGCGCAGGTATTCCAACAATGGCTGTGGCGGGGCTATTGTTTCAACGCCGAGTGTTTCATCGACGGCGGCCAATTCTCCGGCTGTCAGGAGAGCGGACTCGCGATCAAAGCGCAGCTTGTGACAAGGGGCAACAGCGGCCGATGCCCAGGTCTCACAACGTGATCTGGTGATGCTCTCGGATTGTCTTGGGTGATCAATATGCTTCATCGAAGCTCTCTGCTCCACAGCATGACGGAGACCAAAGGGGATATAGTATGACACCAAGCGGTGTGGACTATGCGCAGCGTGCAGGAGCTGCTGTCCATCTCAGGTCCAAGCTGCGGTTGAAGTGATTGTAGACTCGCACCGTCTCGGCGGAGAGAGTGCGTCCCAGTGGAGATCGCCACTCGCTTCAACTGTAGAGCACACCGCCTCAGCCCCGAAGCCCGGATAGCCAACCTTGAGTGCCAAACGGGCGGAGCGGGCTGAGGGACGGATAATCCACCCACAAGAGGACGCAGAATGACCCATGGACCTCTCGCTCAGCATACTGCTGAAGCTTCTCTGTCTGTGGACGCCGAAACAACACTTGTTGACCAACTCCAGTCTCAAACACTGGGAGGGGCGGCTGGCATCATCCCATGCGGTGTAGGTGGGAGAAGCGATGCCGTGGGGTCGACGTCGTCAAAGGCGTTGTGGTCCGACCCGGATTCCAAAGCCCCATGTGATGAATCCGAGAATGAGAAGCCGGATATGGGAAGGACTTCGCAAGCCGGGCTCGCTCATGTGCCGATAGGGTCGTTTTCGACGGGAGGCGATGATCGATTGCTCTGACCTCGCAACGCCGTGGATAACACCAAGTGCAGTGACTTGAAGGCGGTGCAGGACACGGACGGGGGTGACTGAACGCCGGCCTCTGGGTGACTGCACCAGCCCGCGCTGGGGAATCGTTATGCTGATCTCCTTGTCCTGATCGCAAGAGTGGCCTTGATTAGCGCTCAGCGACCTGGCCTCTCCACACTTGCGGAAAGGAGTTTCGTCCAACAGAAGCCCGCTTTCCACAACGCACTGACTTCGGCCGCGATGTTTCCGTGCTGACAGGTGAACACGACCGGGGTCACCGGACACAGCAGGGCAGCCATCCACTTTGGCGAAGCAGAAGCCTGAAACTGGGGTTCGATTCGCAGGGCTGTAAATTCCCTGAATCTGGAACAGGAGTCGGGTGTAGACACCGGATTTCGTTTAGCCGGGAAGAGAACAAGACATTCAGGAAGGAAAGAGACTAAAAAGAGAGAAAACGAAAACGAAAACAAAAGAAGACAGAAAGAAGTAAGCGGTGGATGAGAAAGAAGAGATGCTGTGCTCGGACCTCGGCATAGAACCGTCAAGGCTGCTTGGCAAGAAGTCTTTCAGATACATGACGAAAACAGAGCAGAGCGGAGTGAAGTTGAGAATAACAATGCTAACAACATCGCTGTCGAAGCATTGTTCGGTCGTTTTTCTTCGAGGGAGACGTGAACGGAAGGTGGCTTGCAAAAGCCGCAAATTACCGCCTGCGAATCACGTGCTGCTGCTTATGTCATGCATCTTGGCCTATCAGATGCATCGCTTCGACTGTCGCCTGACAAAGGAGGAAGGCGAGAAGGGACAAGCGGCGCACCTTGGGCATCAAACTGCAGGGAAAGTGAACCTGAATGCTCATGTTGGGTACTTTCCGACTTGGGAGGGCAAGGCTCGCTTCAATTGCTCCAAAAACAACAGCATCATCGTACTCCTGTCGTCGCTGGTTTGGTTCAAGCATCGTAAGAATGGCACCAGTCCGGGACCCCAACACGCTGTCCAACTACGACGCTTGGCGGACCAAGCACACCACCGCCAACTTCAAGGTCGACTTTGCTGCCAAGAGTCTGCGTGGTTCTGTCGTCCTCGAGCTTGAATCGCAGACGGATAAGGCCAGCAACGAGATTATCCTCGACTCCAGCTACGTCGACGTCGCTTGCATCAAGCTCAACTCGACGCCATCGAAATGGGAGATCAAGGATCGCACTGGGCCCAACGGCTCGCCCGTGCACATCTCTGTGCCCAGCGGCGCCAGCAAAGGGGAGGTGGTCAAACTCGAGATTGACGTGGCCACCACCGAGAAGTGCACTGCCCTCCAGTGGTTGACCCCGGCGCAAACCAGCAACAAGAAGGCCCCGTTCATGTTCAGCCAGTGCCAGGCTATTCACGCGCGCTCCATTTTCCCCTGCCAGGACACGCCCGACGTCAAGAGCACATTTGACTTCAACATCCAGAGCCCTCATGTTGTCGTTGCCAGCGGCGTCCCCCTGCCGGACGCACCGGAGGAGGCGGGCCAGGAGAAAATCTACAAGTTCCAGCAGAAGGTTCCGATTCCGTCCTATCTCTTCGCCTTGGCTTCCGGAGACATCGTGAGCGCTCCTATTGGGAAGCGCTCTTCTGTTGCCACGGGTCCCAACGAATTGAAGGCCTCGCAATGGGAGCTCCAGGACGACATGGACAAGTTTCTAAACGCCGCCGAAAAGCTTGTGTTTCCCTACAGGTGGGGAGAGTACAACGTTCTCATCCTGCCCCCGAGCTTCCCGTACGGAGGTGGGTGTTTATACGCAGCTGGATTATGCCACGACTGGGTGACTGACTTGGGTCCAGGCATGGAGAACCCCATCTTCACATTTGCGACGCCCACCATCATCAGCGGTGACCGGCAAAATATCGACGTCATTGCTCACGAGCTTGCCCACAGCTGGAGTGGCAACCTTGTTACGAGCTGCAGCTGGGAGCATTTGTAAGTTCAGCGTCTCAATCACCGAACAGTGTCGCAGGCTGACGCTGGCTAGCTGGCTGAACGAAGGATGGACCATGTATCTGGAGCGGCGTATCCTCACATCCATCCACCAGAACGATGCCTACTTTGACTTCTCGGCCATCATTGGGTGGAAGCAACTCGGTAAGCCTCGGCACAGAACCCAGAACCAGTCCCGTCGCTAATTGGAAGCCACTCAGAGGAGGCGATCAAGGAGTATGGCAAGGATCATGAGTACACCAAGCTGTGCATTAGCCACAAGGGCATCGACCCCGATGACGCCTTCAGCACCGTGCCGTATGAGAAGGGCTTCCACTTCATTTACTACCTTGACCGCCTGGTCGGGCGGGAGAACTTTGACAAGTTCATCCCCCACTACTTCAGCAAGTGGGCGAACAAGTCCCTGGACTCTTACGAGTTCAAGGACACTTTCCTCGAGTTTTTCGGTGCTCCGGAGTATGCCAGTCTGGAGAGCAAGCTCTCAGAGATCGACTGGGAAGGCCGCTTCTTCAGCCCTGGACTCCCGCCGAAGCCCGAGTTGGACACGTCACTAGTCGACGTGTGCTTCCAGCTGGCGGACAAGTGGAGGCAAGCCGACTTCTCGCCCAGCTCGTCGGACATCAGCTCCTGGACCGGCAATCAAGTCCTCGTCTTCCTGAACTTGGTCCAGAACTTTGAGGTGCCTCTCACACCGGAGCATTCTGTATGTCATCCTGCGCAACCTGCCGTTCTGGTGATACCCCGGCTAACCCAACGCAGCAAAAACTGGGCAAGGCCTATGGGCTCACCGAAAGCAAGAACGTCGAGCTCAAGTCGGCCTACTACCAGATTGCCATGGCGGCCAAGGACACCAGCTCCTATGCGGGTGTGGCTGAGCTTCTCGGAGAAGTCGGCCGCATGAAGTTTGTGCGGACGCTCTTCCGCAGCCTCAACAACGTGGACCGCGACCTTGCCGTCAGGACTTTTGAGAAGAACCGCGATTTCTACCACCCCATTTGCCGCGCCCTGGTCGAGAAGGACCTCGGGCTTGGTGCGCCTGGGTCGGCTTGAGGTTGGGCGGGCGCAGTCTCGAGTTTGGCGAGGGAGGCGGGCAGGCTGGGTAGGACCGTCCAGTGATGTATGGCTATCTGGGAGGACTCAGCAACTCAGATGGGTACAATCCAAGTGAGTTGCATTTCGTCGGCGAGCTTGGATGTCTCTCAACAGGCAAGTTTCAAGGGTCATATGATATCTCAAGGGCTCTCAAAGCGGCTGTTTCGACTGCGCAGCCAGCAGTGAGCAATTCTTCGTGTTGAGTGTTTGTTTTTGATGCAAAATTTCTGAAAGAAACCTGGATCTACAAGATTGCACAAAGGTTGGGTTGGGCTGGGGCTCATGGTGGTTGGTTCTTGGGAGTTCTTTGGCTTGGTGAGGGGGAGTCGACCATCTCAACACCCGAACGCTTCGGACGGAAAAACACTGCGCACAAAAGTACACACCATAGACATCCAACTCAGATACAGGGAGTGTGGTCGACGGGAGGCATTTTTTGTGGGGTTTGCTTGATCCTTTAAATCGTCGAAAGAATATCAGGGAAGTGCAGCTTGCGGGATTGAGCTTACATAAGAGCATTGAGCTAAGATTTGTCCATAACAAGCCTATGGGCGCATGGTCTAGTGGTATGATTTCTGTTTTGCATGAAAATTTCTGTCTCTACAGACGGTCCCGCGTTCGATCCGCGGTGCGTCCATTTTGGTTTTTGTCCTCTTTTGCTCTTACTTTCTTTCTGTCAAGGATCTGTCAAGGACTTAACATGCGGTGTTCCAGGCTCCTTGGTCAATGTCCATGATCATCCAAGGCAAACCAAGGATGACGGGCCACCTCCTCTGCCGTAATCCTCTCCGCTGGATCATACGCAAATATCTTCTCCAGAAGATCCACCAACAACGCCGCCTCGTGCTCCTCAATCTTGGGAAACGCCTTCAACATTTCATCCGTCTCATCGCCATACCCCTCCATGTACCACCCATCCACGCAGACAGCAGTCGGCTTCCACACCATCCCCCTCAACCCCTCCGGATACGGGACCCGCATGGCAGCATCGTCCGCAAACATGGCCGGTGCGTGCTCCTCCGTCATCTGAACCACCTCGCCCTTCGAGTCGATACACAATCCCCTCGGCTCATCCCAGATCTAACGCACCCTCTCCCCCAGCGGCCACGAGTCCGTTGGATTCGAGAACGGTTGACCCTCCTCCTCCGCCCCGGGAGCGACCGAACGCCCGTCCTCGTCGAATCTCGTCTCTCTCCACTCACGGGGCAACTTTTCCTCGCCCATGGCCCTGACAGCTTGCCACAGTGCACTCCCCGGGCAGGTGGTGTCCCAGTCGAAGAAGAGATCCTCGCCGGACCGGAGGCGGTAGATGGCCCAGCCCAGCGCCCAGACGTCGGAGGCTTTGCTGGGGGGCAGGCCTACGCATAACTCGGGAGCGAGGTACTTGGCCGGGGTGCCGAGCTGTTTCGCGGCCGGCGGATGAGAAGCCTCGAATGACTGGTCAAAGTCGATGATGCAGATGCTGCGGCTGAGGAGGGTGGTTGGCGGGGCACAGGAATCCAAAGGGGCGACGATGGTTTCAGGACCGTGGGGGGCCGGGGGCTCGCCGGAGTAAGTGTATAGGGTGCAGGTATTGGGCGGGCCGAGGAGGGCGAGCAGGGAGGATTCTGGGCTGGCTGTGAGCAGCGCTTCGTTGAGGCACACGACGATGTTGGCGGTGGTTAGGTCTGGCAGGCGGGGTTAGCGCTGCCCTGAAGGGAGACGGACCGGGGGTTGAGGTTTGGCTTACCACCGTGGCACAGCCCGTTTGCGTGCAAGTGTGCGAGGGCTCGGGCAGCCTGGAGAGATAGCTCTCTGGCGGCCGTTCGGCCCATCTACCCAGAACCGCCTTTCGGGCACAGCAAAGAGAGGAGACTCGGCGATGCTTGTGTGGATTGCGGCAACCAACTTGGACTCGTACGTGGCCGAATCCCGGGCGATAGCCATCTTCAGGGCAATCCACCGGCTGTCGAGCACATCTCGGGCGAGCCAGACGGTGGAAAAGCCGCCAGCGCCGAGCTTGCGGACGACTCGGTACCGGCCGTCGTAGACGTCGCCGATGCGGACTGGGTGGAAGCCGCCTGGCTCGTAGTTCTCGAGGGTTTCATATCCCCCAAAATCGCAGGGAGCGTAGGTCGAGGGCCAGGGACTGTCCTGGGGGCTCGAGTCCATGGTTCCAGGTTTGCTCACGAGTCTGCCTGTTGGTGATGCAAGGGCGATGCTGAGGTCCATTGGACGCCCGCGCTTGAGGGCGGGGCAATACGCGAACGGCCCATAATGAAGGATGCACGATGCCGAGAGGGACGGTGTCCAGGTTGAATGCGGTCAATACCTAGTTTGAAGATGAGATTTATCAGGATCCTACGGGCTCGGAGGACTCAGTCTCTGTGTTCTCTGTTCTTCTCTTCTTAAATGAAAATTCGATAACTAAGCCTCACCCCGATACTTCCATCCACATTTTCAACTTTCCTTGTAATTGCATAAGGTACTCTTGCCTTTCTGTCACCCACAACTGCCCGTGAATTTCACTCACAACTGTGATTTTCCTCAGTTGATCGTATGAAGGAAGCCCTTTTGCGAATCCCCAGGCACGATTGGGTATGGCCATCAGAGATTTCAGTATTTTAACCAAGTTTTGGGTATTTTGACAGCCCTGATTTTGGAACTGGATCTGGACCTGGAGCCAGAACTTACATCACCTCCTCCACTCAAACGGGACCTTATAGTTTTATTTTCTTGAGCAACGAATCAAGCGGGTTTAGCTCAGTTGGGTGAGCGTCAGACTGAAGTAAAACTTCGGAAACGTAATCTGAAGGTCATGTGTTCGATCCACATAAACCGCATTGTTTATGGAAATGAGTATAACAACCATTTCACTACTTTGTTCCGTCAGTATTTTTTGTTCCCAACGCTGTCCGATTTCGAGGTCACGATGCGTCGCTCTTGTGGCACCGCAAGCTCCAGCACTCGCTCCCTCGGCCAGCCAAAGATCTTGTTCGTCGCCAACAAGCCAGATTGTCTTGGGACTGGGATTCTGTCTCCGTGGCTTTCCCAGTGATGCGCCGGGACGAGTATGTGTTCGCTTGCTTTGCCATCAACACGGGAACATTCTACTACGGCACCGTGCAAGATGGAGGTGTATCCTCCGGACGATACCGTAGGTTAGCCTTGCTGCCAGTGGCGGACCTGTTCAACCACGCGGCCGGTGCCGAGTCTCGTTTACACCCGGGGGGCGGTTCAGCGTCTATAAAGACGGCACGTACCGCGCCGACGAAGAGCGTTGTTTGCATAACCCAACCAGAACCTTCCCAACAAGCCCTCTTGACCTATGATTACTCCCTGCTGCTTGGCGTTCTCCATCATGAGCGAATATACATGATCGTCCTCAGCCCGTTCCTCATCCATGATTTGATAGAACCTTTTCCTTGCCGCGATAATCGCACGCCTTTCCTGGTCGTCAAGCGCATTTAAAGACAGCTTGCTCGGCATCGTCCCGCAAAGGGGCCGCCCTAATATTCCGTCTTATAGAATGTAGGGCGTTGTCAATCAACTCCATCATGTCAGGTGGCGGCCTGTTCTGTGCCTCTCTCTGAAGTTCGGTGTGAAAACCCCTGAGCCGCATGACGAGTTGGCTTTCGATATTGGTCAGCTGCTCTGGATTTGTCGCGGCGATGGCGATGAGCGCGGCGCGCGTCTTTCCGTTCGCTTTTTCGCGGCAGATCCGTTCGTCGTCTTCGGGCGAGAGCCAGTCGAAAACCAGGTTGGTCTCGGCTTGGGTGAGTGAGGAGGCGTCGGCGATGGTGCGGCGATAGATCGGTTCCATGTCGGTGACATTGTCGTTGTGGATGATGGTGGGCTTTATGGGATTAGACATAGGGCGGCGGAGTCTACGTGGCATTCGCAACTAAATCGCAAGGGAGGTAGGCGCAAGAGTCAGGATGACAATAACCAAAGCCGCATGTATATGGACACAGATGCTCGTGGTTGCCGATACCGGTTCCCTCGACGAACAGTAGCAGGGGGGCGGTGGTGCACGGCCAACCGGGACAACGGCTCCCGACTCGGGAGCAAGCATAATCACAGAGGGCCATAAGCTGCTGCCTCGCCTGGTGCGGCGTAACCACGTTGACCCGATATCAAGAGGGCTGGAGGCGGAGCGGATGTTCAGGTCGTTGTGCAAGTGCATGGCGATGGACACCAACCAAAGCGACGGCTGAAATCACAGAGACCCTAGTAGCCACCTGGCCCAGTGCCGAAGACGCAGTTAATGTTGGGTGTTGAGAACAAACGCAAGACCTGTCGACGACGACGAAATGCTGGAAACGCTGGAAGAGGGTACCGCTGATGGTGAACTTGGCACCAACGTTGTGCTTCGTCCCGAGGAGGTCCTGCCGCCGCGGCTGGTGTCGAGAATGCAGTACTGGAACCCTTCTTCGAGCAGGCCAGAATTGGGGTCGTCCTCGTTCAATATCTGGGGAAGCGATGGGTTCCAGAGTAGGATTTGGTTTAGATCGACACCCGCGAGGGTGGCCATGAGCTCGCAGGAACTTCGGTAGAGCTCGAAGTACGAAGCGTTGGCTGGCACGTCCCGGTATCTGGTATACCAGGTGCAGTTGTTCCATGTGCCCGGTGCCAGAGGCGGCAGCATCGGTACGGCGCTTGGCCCGGAGGGCACGGTTGTGCTGGTGCCGGTTTCGCTGGAGATGTCGTCCACTGTCACTATTGGCCAGGGTATTTCTGAATAGGATGGAAGAGTTGGGACGTAACAGCTGGATATTGTTTCAGCTTCCAACTTCAAGCACGGATCCGTAAACCTATCATGGCCATGAATTAGTACTGGTGTTAGAACTGAGTCAAAGCTACTTAAGAAAAAAGAGGCCCTACATCGCTGTCGGTACGTCGGGGTATGACGCTGTGGTACTCGCAACAGAACCAACGGGGCCGACACAGATCACAAAATCGAGCATGCCGTACAAGTTTGAGCACTCCGGGTCGATGTTGGGGTTCCATGCGAGAAGCTGCTGTGCGGTGACGCCCGCTTTTTTGGCAATCTTTTCGCAGGTATCTAAAGGGCTAACGGAGTGTACTCGGCAGGTTTCTGGTATGTAAATGGTCGTTCTAGGCCCGGGGGAAAAATTGCAGTAGGAGGGCAGCAAGTTGACGCGCATGACTACCCAACAATGTCAGTCGTTTCATGCCTGTTGTAGCATATTGAAGGTGTCTCGGGAGTAATTCGGGAGCAAAAACTGCCGCTTTGGGGACAAAGCGACTCCCGTGACTCCCGAGACACCTCGAAAAGGGGAAGAAACAGCACGAATCTGACGTACGGTTGTAGGTTGATACTTGGTGGACACGGCTGATGGACTTACACCGGTCGGAAGCTTTGATGGTGTAGTTGCTTTGGCAGGATAATGTGGGCCTCGGCCTTGATGGCGTGGTTGTCGAAGGCATATAACCGAGCGCATACTGGCTGGGTGATGTAACAGCCCATGAGGGGGCTGCGGTGCATCTGGTTTGCGGGAATCAGCATTCTTGGGGTACAACGCAAAGTACATGTGGCGGCCGGAAGACTTACGACGATGTCAGTGACGTGTATAGATTAAAGAGCGTGTCATCCCAGTCAAAAGGGGGAGGAGAGACGACTCTTCCAAACACCAAGATTGCACTCGTTGCAATACTCTTCCTTTTCCTCATTTTGGTTCCATTCAATGAACCGGGGAAGGCAATACTCGGTTCCGGCGCTACTTGTGCGTCAGATTGTTCAACACACAAGACACGGAGCGAAGGTACCTACGCGTTTTGCAGACACAAATAATCGAAGGCGTGTAGAAGCGTATCCGTGAAGTAAGTGGCAGGGTAGAGGGTCCCCAACTCCAAGATTGTGTCACTAGAAGAGCAGGCTGCTTGCTAAACAGCCCGGAGATCCAAAAGAGACAGTCGGCAGTCGGGGTCGCAAGAAATGTCAAGGTCGGGCTCGTTTGGCAGCTCCCCATAACCAAATCCAAACAAGGTGGGTGCGCAAGTGATGTTGTGGTCGAAGGTGCTCCTAGGTTTTACTCCACGGTCAGCTCCCACCACCTGCTACACCAAAATGCAGCACACCGGGCAGCGACTGACAGGCAAGAGGCGGATAGGGCACTGGGTGGCAGGAGCCGTGTAATATATTCGCCTCCAGGTGTAACCATGACCTGAGAGCGCGCGGGAGAAGAGGAAGACGAGCTATGAGAACGCATTAGAGGACTGGACGGCATTGAAGCGGGCTCTGATGAACACAGCTCAAACTTACGACTCGAAAAAAATGGTGGCAAAGATGACCTTCGGGAGGACGTTGAGATGATCATGTTGATGAGAGACGAGACCAAAACGAATAACACGGGTAAGGATGGCCGGCTCTGACGTTGTCACAATGGAGACAGACGCGAGCGGCAAAAGATCGACTCGGCTGGGACTCGAACCCAGAACCTTTGCCAGCGGACAAACACACAATTATAATAGTGTGCTAGGAGAGACCGGAAAGCAACGCCCTACCATTGAGCTACCAAGCCTTGATAATGCATTACCTTGGATTATCCTCACCAAATTTAGACAGGTTGCACGAACAGGCGCCGATGCGGGGATTCAGAGTTTGCTCATGGGCCGTGGAGAGCGCATGGACTCCGGTGGGGCTGCGCCGCTCAGTGGAGGTGATTGATTCAGCATGCTGTGTAACTATTGTATTGTACAATACCAGGCTATGGTCACGTCAAGATGCCGCGCGAGGCAGAGGCGCAGCTCAGCACTCTGGTCTGAATGCGTTCATGAGCCGATACCTTACCAACTACCTGTAGCCTTTATTACTTAACTTGGAGGTTTGGCTCAACCTGCAATCTGAGCTTCCATTGTTGGACCCTTTCAGGTTGTCTTTCGACGCGGCGCAGGGCGGTATGTGACCCACTTCCCCGTAACGTTACCCCTGTTCGGGCATGTGCCGAATGCGCGCCGCGTCCTCTTGAATTTCCGTTGTTGACACCGAGACGCATGCATCCTCATTCCTGCTCTGCCGCCAAGATCAATCCGGGACGCCATCTTGGCAACAACATCGCCAACACGGTCGACTCGGGACCGCGCAACTCGCACAGTCTTCGCCGGCACAACCACACGACATCGCCCCGACCGCGACTCGAGGATCCGACGTCTCGAGGCTCGACTCGACTCTGTGGCGCCAGCGGTTGCCCCACGGCGTCCCCGCTGGCAATCTCATCCAACTGACACCCCTGGATTGCTGGACAACCTAGACGAGTTGGTCAAGGGAGGATGCGCGCGGATGCCGAGTCACGGGCTGGGAACTGTATGCCGGGAAACCAAAGGACCACGCAATAATAACCAACCCATCGACCCGCCTGACCCGCGCCCACCAGCCATCGTCCCTCCTCGCACCTGTCGAAAGCCGCTGGCTATATTATCGCCGTACAACAACCCGCGACCATGGCTCCGGCCGCGGCCCCCTCCGGCGGGGGAGGGAATATCAAAGTGGTGGTCAGATGTCGTCCCTTCAACGGGAGAGGTGAGCGAGCCATCTTGTGTGGGAGAGCTAGGCCGCCGTGGGCAAGCAAACTGATGCCGTTGCTTGGCAGAACACGACCGGGGCGCAAAATGTATCGTCGAGATGAAAGACAACCAGACCGTCCTGACGCCGCCGCCCGATAGTGCAGGGAAGGCGGTCAAGGACCACGGCCAGAAGGTCTTCGCCTTTGACAAGTCGTACTGGTCCTTCGACAAGAATGCGCCCAGCTACGCCGGCCAGGAGCACCTGTTTCAGGATCTCGGCAAGCCGCTGCTCGACAATGCCTTCCAGGGATACAACAACTGTATCTTCGCCTACGGCCAGACCGGTTCTGGCAAGTCGTACTCGATGATGGGATACGGGAAGGACGCCGGCATCATTCCGAACATCTGCCAGGACATGTTTAGAAGGATCGAGGAAATGCAGCAGGACAACAACCTGCGCTGCACCGTCGAGGTGTCGTACCTCGAGATCTACAACGAGCGAGTGCGCGACTTGCTGAACCCGGCGAACAAGGGCAACCTCAAGGTCCGAGAGCACCCTTCCACGGGGCCGTACGTCGAGGATCTGGCCAAGTTGGTCGTTGGGAGCTTCCAAGAAATCGAGCACTTGATGGACGAGGGCAACAAGGCCAGGACGGTGGCGGCGACCAACATGAACGAGACGTCCAGCCGAAGTCACGCCGTGTTCACCCTCATGCTGACCCAGAAGCGCTTCGACCCGGAAACCAAGATGTCGATGGAGAAGGCGGCCAAGATTAGCCTTGTCGACCTGGCTGGTTCGGAAAGGGCCACTTCCACGGGCGCGACTGGCGCGCGGCTCAAGGAAGGCGCAGAAATTAACCGCTCGCTCTCCACCCTCGGCCGTGTCATCGCAGCATTGGCAGATTTATCCACCGGCAAGAAAAAGAAAGGCGCGGCAGGCCAGGTCCCTTACCGAGACAGCGTCCTCACCTGGTTGCTCAAAGACTCCCTCGGAGGCAACAGCATGACGGCCATGATTGCTGCCATCAGCCCGGCCGACATCAATTACGACGAGACGCTCAGCACGCTTCGGTACGCCGACTCGGCGAAACGCATCAAGAACCACGCAGTCGTCAACGAAGACGCCAACGCCCGCATGATCCGCGAGCTCAAGGAGGAACTGGCCCAGCTCCGCAGCAAGCTCAGCAGCGGAGGCGGGGCCGGCGGCGCCCCGGTTCCCGCCGAGGAGGTGTACGCTGAAGGCACTCCTCTGGAGCAGCAAATCGTCAGCATCACGCAGTCCGACGGCTCCGTCAAGAAAGTTTCAAAGGCCGAAATTGCCGAGCAGCTGAGCCAGAGCGAGAAGCTGCTGCAAGACCTCAACCAGACGTGGGAGCAGAAACTGACCAAGACGGAGGAAATCCACAAGGAGCGAGAAGCCGCGCTCGAGGAGTTGGGCATCAGCATCGAGAAGGGCTTCATCGGCATGTCCACACCCAAGAAAATGCCCCATTTGGTCAACCTTTCAGACGATCCCCTGCTGGCCGAGTGCCTGGTTTACAACCTGAAACCCGGAAGCACGACGGTAGGCGCGGACCACCAGGCAAACATTCGTCTGAACGGGTCCAGAATCCTCCACGAGCACTGCACCTTTGACAACGCGCCAGATGAGACGGTCTTGGTCACGCCAAAGGAAGGAGCGGCAGTGATGGTAAACGGAAAGCGAGTGACGGAGCCCACGCGGCTGCACTCGGGCTACCGCATCATCCTGGGCGACTTCCACATTTTCCGGTTCAATCATCCCATGGAGGCGCGTGCCGAACGGGCCGAGAAGCAGCAACAGAGCCTTTTGCGCCAGTCCATCACCGCAAGCCAGCTACAAGCGCTGGAAAAGACGTCGCCGTCCCCGAGCCCAAGACCCGGCCACGATAGGACCTTTAGCACGGCCATCTCGGACTATGGCGACAGCCGACCAGACTCGCCGTCCCCGTTCCAGCGCAATGCAAAGGAGTCCGACTGGTCCTTTGCGCGCAGGGAAGCCGCTGGCGCCATTCTCGGCACCGACCAGAATTTCGCCAAACTAACCGACGAGGAACTCAATGCCCTGTTCGAAGACGTCCAGCGGGCCCGCGCAGAGCGTGTGATCGGCCGGGAGGGGGACGAGGACATGGAGTCGATGGCGTCGTACCCGATCAGGGAGAAGTACATGTCTACCGGCACCATCGACAACTTCTCGCTCGACACAATCCTGACCATGCCGTCCACCCCTAAGCAGGGCGAGACCGAGGACAGGCTGCGCGAGATGCGCGAGGAGATGCAGAGCCAGCTGGAGAAGCAGAAGGAGGAGTACCGCGGCCAGCTCAAGAGCGCAGAGGTGGCCAACGTGGAGGTCGAGGAGATCAAGAAGGAGAAGGCCCGGATGGAGGAGACGCTCGTCCAGCTCAAGGCCGACATGCAGAAGCAACTCGAGGTGCAGCGGCGCGAGTACGAGGCCAAGATCGAGAAGCTGGATCCGCTCAAGCGCCCCAAGGCGAGGCCGAAGCTGTCCGAGGACGAGGTGGAGCGCGCAAAGGTCGTGGTCAGACACTGGCGGAGTCGGCACTACGTGCGCATGGCCGAGGCCGTCTTGCAGCACGCTGCGACGCTGAAGGAGGCCCAGATAATGAGCCACGAGCTCGACGAGCACGTCGTCTTCCAGTTCACCGTGGTCGACATCGGCCACATGCTCTGCTCCTCCTACGACATGGTCCTCAACGGGCTGACCGGCGAAGGGGAGGACATGGAGCTCGAAGAGGCCCCCAAGCCGTGCATCGGCGTGCGTGTCGTAGACTACAAGCACGCCGTGGTCCATCTCTGGAGCATCGAGAAGCTCCACGACCGGGTCCGGCAGATGCGGCAGATGTATCAGTATCTCGACCAGCCCGAGTATGCGCAGCACCTGAGCATCGACAACCCCTTCCTCGAGACGTGCATGCCGCAGTACACGCTTGTCGGTGAGGCCGACGTGCCCTTGAAGGCTGTCTTCGAGAGTCGGGTGCAGGACTTCACGCTCGACGTGTTCTCCCCCCATACCTCGCACGCCATCGGCATCATCAAGCTCGCGTTGGAGCCCTCTAGCGCGCGGGCGCCCTCCAACACGCTCAAGTTCAACATTGTGATGCACGAGATGGTTGGCTTTGCGGAGCGCGAAGGCACCGAGGTGCATGCGCAGCTGTTCATCCCCGGCATTTCCGAAGACGGCATCACCACCACCCAGATGATCAAGGACTTTGACGAGGGCCCGATCCGGTTCGAGAGCGTCCATAGCATGAGCGTCCCGCTGTTTGCGCCCCCGCAGACGACGCTGAGGGTGGCCATCTTCGCCAGGGTGTCGGCCATGCATCTGGATAAGCTCCTCAGCTGGGACGATATGAGGGATGCGGTACCCAGCTCTCGGGGCAAACGCAAGGGCGCCAGGATCAGCGAGGCGCACTTCTTTACCGAGGAGAAGTACGACCTGCTCGCGCGAGTGCAGATCCTCGAGATGGACGAGGAGGGAGAGTACGTGCCGGTCGAGGTCACCCAGACCAGCGAGCTCGACAGCGGCACGTTCCAGCTGCATCAGGGCCTCCAGAGGCGCATCGCCATCAGTCTCACGCACAGCTCGGGCGATGCTCTGCCGTGGGACGACGTCGTTGCGATGCGCGTGGGCAAGATCCAGCTGCTGGACAGCGCAGGCAAGACGCCCGACATGGCCGCCGTCAGTCCAGACATCTCACTGAAGCTCGCATCCGAACCCGCGTTTCGGACGAATGCGAACGGCACTCGGAGCGTGACGGTCGCTGGGCAGTGGGACTCGAGCCTGCACAACTCGCTGCTCCTCGACCGGGTCACGGCGGACAAGTACCGCGTGCAAATGACGGTGTCGTGGGAGATCAGCTCCGAGAAGCTGGCCGAGCCCATGAAATTCTCGATGAACCTCTGCTGCCAGATCCTGTCGCGGTCCTTTGTCCGGCAGACGTCCATGTTCTCGGCGCTGTGGCAGCAGGTGCGCATCGTC